AAACCTTTGATTTCATTTCTGTAAATATACTGATATTATGATGTGACATCCTTGGAAAATACCTGATGTTGTGATCGTGCAATCGCATTATTTTTGAATGCTTATGCACTTTTTTTGCGACTCCAGGAAATTGACTAGAGATGACAGAATCAATGGCGAAATTTCTTACTGAAACTTTCACTGTGTTATCATCGAAAATTGCATGTGTCATTCATTTGTTCAGCATGAGCTTTATGAGATATATTGCAAGCTGATGCACCCAACTCTACTTGATCGAATCATCATCATCGTCAGAAATGCAAGCAATTTCCGTTTCAGACAGCACTTCTTAAAAGTTTCGCATGTCAACATGTTGTTTTGTGTGTTTCGTATCGCTCCAGAAATGTCACAAATTCTTTGAAGCTCATTAACGATTCGTACATTCCGCGATTTTGCGAATCCGAAAACAATAACTTCCCTGAGTAAGAATCCATTGATGTTCTTTGTTATTCATTTTCAAATTACCGGAATTACCGCTCAGAAACATACATTCTTAATCTGCAGTGACGAATGTGTTTTTGAGGTAATAAACTTCTTTGTGACGCTATTACGAAATTCACTCAAATTAGGCATGAAATTGGAGAAGATCGATTTCTCAAAACTACAATATAAACATATCGAGCTGAGAGAATTTTCAAAGCACTGCAAGTTTCAGCAATGAAACTTTTAAGAATTGAAGGAAAAGCTAAGAGCACAGGATCAGTGCGATATAAGAATTTTAAACTGGAGTGTCACAAAAAAGAGATTTTTTGAGCTTTCACGATCCGTCTACACATTGAAAGATTAGGAATAGTTTTTGGTTGAGTCACAAAATAGTCTGTGCCAAGTGCTGCAAAGCGTTGTTAAAATTTTGGTTAAGTACCTTATGCATCAAGTGATAATAGTGAAGGCGAGTGTATAAAATTATTCTATAAGCAACAGAGCCGTTCGATTTTATTCGTTTTAATGATTGAAATTGATTTCTAAGGAATTTCTATCTTCGCGACTGTGAGCGAGTTATGGATCAATTAGTTGCACCGATACGATTCTTACAAATGGATGATGTTGAGTTCGTTGCGATGAAGGCTTGCATTCTTTTCAATCCTGGTATATTTGTGCATTTCATGAAGTTGTTTTATCGATTCATGTGTTGATACCTCTGAGAACGGTGAAAGCATTCCGTTCAATTTGATATCATTCGATTATCTTGCATTCTTATAATACCAGAAAGACAAATTTCAAATTCAAGTTTTGTTTTCAACGATGAATCTGCCAAACTGTCGGATTACACTCTGCACTACAAATCAATGAAATAAAGGAAATTGCATTGAAATTTCAGTGGCAAAAGGCTTATCAAGTTCAAGCGTAATGCATGTTCTATCAACACGTCGTCAGATATTCAGTGCCTTAGAGCATTACGTTACCTCGAAGATTCCAGCTGATCCGAATCGTCTCGGCGATCTAACCTTCTTCATACTTTCTCCATTGCAGGTGAGAATGTCCGATGACCATAATTTGCATCAGTTCCTCTCATAGAGTTTCTGTGATCATTTTCATCAAGTAAAGTATGTCATAATTGTGTTGGGTTTCATCTGCGCTCAGCATGAAAAATTCATCGCTTCTCTATGCCATATGTGCATTCGGGTGTTAAAATCCATCTTCCTAATTTAGACTTCGGGAATTACTAAGAAATGTGCTTCGCAATGAAGCATCTACGATATTTCTGCGAAATTCTGGCCTAAATTAGTCGCTATTTTACGAAAAAGAAATGAACAGATGTAGTCTGAAACGTCAACGTCAGAGGTTTATATGCAGTCAGCATGAATTTTGATGTGCAAATTGGATGCTGGCTTATTTGCAATCAGTATTGCCGGATACTTTTGATAAACTGAAAGAATAGTTCAATAATTTCAGACTCTAGCCAATATGATATCGGAAGATTTGTTGGTATCGAAATTGTCGGGCGTCGCACATTTGGATCAGCTCATGGAAGAGTTGATACTTTGTGATCCAGGAGAACAGAAAGTGCTCTCTAATCGGTTTCAAAACGGTGAAAATCATGGTTGATTGGTTTTGTTTCGATGAAATAAAATACTTCTGTTCATACAATACTCTTCGCGTGATTAATGATAATTTCGACGTGCCAACTTCTGAAATTTTCAAATTTGAAAACTGAAATTGAGACATATCATACTTTGTTGTTTATAGACATAGACATATCACACGCAAGTAAACATTAGCTTATGAAGATGTAAATGTGGAATGCATAAATCTAATTGAGTAGTGGTAACTTCAAACCCAGAAAAATAAACCTATTACCAAGTGATGGCTTGAATATTAGCTATATTTACGCGATTTTATTTGATGTAGTAAGAGTGGAATGATTTAAACTCAGTAAGATTCATTTGCATGACAACTCATTAGAAACGACTGTTAAGTGAGTTGAAGAAACAAATCAAAGTCAACTCTTGAACTGATTGGTGTTCCATTTTGAACGCTTTCGAAATAAGCATCATTTATGGGTTTGGTTAAGATGTTTCAGTTAAAGAAAGTATCGAATTGGCGAATAATCGCGAGATCTCTCACTCCCTCCCATGTAGTATCTATATGCAAAGGTTTGATCTTGATGTTCAGCTCGTTTCTTGTTTTTCATGTTACTTCAACCAATTTCTTATTTCGAGTATCTTCTTTTTGGAAGTCCTTCTCTGTACATTTCTACTATTGCTGATTGGTTATCATTCATATTTCCGACATAAATTTTCAATGGCTTTTTCAAAGTGTATATTTGATCACGGTGAAGTGATTACATTGATATATTGAAGTTGACAAGAAACTTCATGTAACTTCTTGATTTTTTTCTGGTTTCTTCACTGAGTTGTGATAAATTAGCAGAGGAGGTGAGAATTGTGGCCGTATGGAGGGAGTGCTGGAGAATAAGGGAGATGGCGGTTTGTCATACGGCCAAAGAGGGGCATGAAGTGCGAGAACATAAATAAGATTTGTTGCTATAAGGCATGAATGTTCAGCCCGCACTTCCTTGTAGCAACTCTTATCCCTTTATCTGAATTATACTAGTTTAGCAAAAAAAAAAGATAACGCAACTTGTGAACATCTTCTGTTTGGATCGTAATTTGGAGGAGGTGGACAACTTGCTTAAAACTAGCCAAATTCATTCGAATCACGCCATGACAATGCGACTGAATTGCAGCGCAGCAACAGTCTCAACGACACCACAACCGAGTCACCACGATCAACAACAGCATCCAGTTCCAATGTCTCTACCATCTTCACCAACAAATCCCGTACATCACCAGACATCACCATCGACCAACGATCTGGATGATTCGTTGAATATTCATACATTCAATAAATTTGCACCATCCACTACACTGTCTTCATACATTCTTGGTCCTCTGGATGGGTAATCAACTTTGTTTACTCACTTTCACTTTGCATTCACTTTTTACTTTACATCATCATCTTACTTAGTCTGTCATCCGGGATAGGTGCAATTGAAAAAAAATTTTTCAAATAATTTCATATTTCAAATTTATTTTCTTGTCAACATTCAAGCAATGCACATTTGTTTGCAAACTCATGCCGTATAATGGAGGCAATTAGTATTTATTAAGATGTGTTTAGAAATTGAATGTTCGCAAAAGTAACGATAGTGATCCTTTGTTTCACTCCTTTTCACTCCGCATTCCATTTTCGTGTTTTCTTCAGCAGATAATCTGACGTATGCATGAAGAGTATATTTCCAACTGCTTACTTCAACGAATTGAAACTCGATCGGATTTTCACTGCTTTTTCTTGGAAACATATTTCTCCTAGAAAAACAAGTGAACAACATTCTGAATGTATTACTTCAGAAGAAATAGTTACCCATAAATCTGTTTGATTGATTGTGTGGCATTCAATTATCAATAGATGAACAGTGGTCGCTTCCAGGAATCATTCGCCGTCGCCTGGTATGGAAATGTTGAACAGTTTGGTTGAGCCGATTCAGTCGACGTTCCAAAACAGTTGCTGCACCAGCACAACAACATGCACACATCCACCACTGTTCGGTTCGATTACAGATTCCGTTTGCGTACCAACTTCACTTCATTCGTGATTCATGCCCTACAGAAAGTGCACAGTCTTCTCGTTTCGTAATTCATAAGTTCACCTCATTTCACATTCCACTCATCTCATTTATTGCATCCTCAAAATTCTACTCTCGTTCAATTCTCAACGATTTATCATTCATTCTTCATGCAATGCTAATTCTTTGTACATTTGAGATTTTCAATTCAAAACAGGACAAATCGATATGCAATGATGCATTCATTCCTGTGGATTCATATATTTGTGACCATGGCAATTTCCAAAACAACACTTAAATAGAAGTATTCCTCATGTAATCGTATAATGGAGACCATTAGTATTCATTAGTTTTATTAGTGCAGTAAAATTGAATACAGTAAAATCGTTAGACTGTATATCGTATACAAATGTATGCCAGATTCGTCAGACAAATGCACAAAATGCTTTGCTATCTACATTTTCGACCTTCAGTTGCATCAAGCAATGTTATAAAATCAGTCAAATACTTCTGCTAAAACCATTACGAGTATGGTAGTAATTTTGTTTTTATTGACTATCAGTGTGCTCATTTCATATCTGAATGTTTTGTTTTCAAGTTGCACCACATGAGA